AGGTCCCACTGTCTCCTTATTGTGTCCTCTGTCCCGCACGGGGCCAGGATGCAAGGCTGGCGAGGGATTGAGGAGGGAGTCGAGGACTTCACCGTGTGCGGCTCCTTGCCCACCGCCGCGGCTCTGTGCCATCCATCAGACCTTTTCCTCCCAAAAGGTGGAAACCAGAGCCCAGACACTCTCCTCCTTCCCTATCCATCGCATGAACCTTCTACATCAGCACAAAAAAGCACCTGCCAGCCCCTTTCCCGGAGGCAGTGACCTCCTGCAGAGACCCCAAGCAACTCCAGGAGCGTTGCATGGAGACGAGGGTGTGCACCTCCCTCCGGCCGACCAGCCACTGCCACGCAGCCCGCAGCCCTTCTCCTGAAATTCAATTACCAAACACATCTGCTCTGGTGACACGCTGCTGCGTTTAGCATCCCGGCTATTTCGTAACCATGAGCGTTTGTTGGGACTCTCCCCACTTCTCAGCCCGTTTCCATTTACTGCTTCTCTTCCACGTTTCCATTGACAGCTGAAAATCGTGAAGCTCACTTCAGATTAACCTGGTGAGCATTTAAGAATGGCTTGCAAACGATTAGAGAGTTGGGGAAGAGGGAAGATACGACACCCCAAGGCTGCTGAGGTGGGGGTCTAACCCTCGCAGGGACAGAAAGCAAGACCCCCTTCTGAGTGCACGGTCTGTGCGAGCTGGTGGCCCAGCTCCCGGTGGTCCAGAGTGGTTTCCAGGCAGGATCCGAACCTTCTGTGCTCCCCAAGGATGCTTGAGGAGGGTGACCTGCCAGGCCCCACCGTGCCTTCATCCTCCTGAAGCTGGGTCGTAGGTGGGTTTGTCTCGGTCCTTCTTTACCCATGTATTAGCCCCTAATACAGACGTCCGACAGCCAGATGCTGAGATTTGTTACATCCTTTAGTCGCATCCTCCGCCCATGCTGGGGACACCCGTCACCCACAGGGTCCCTGCCGTGGGGACGTGGGATGGAGAGCCGTCCAATGCAGAAGCCAATGTGGGGAACTCAGCTGTCGGGGTTGCTCTGCTTTAGACGCTGTGTTTCGCTGTGGCCGAGGCCAACCCAAAGAGGTGGGTTAAGAGGTGCAGGATGTGATCCCAGCCTGCAGTTCAGCTCCTTGGAGAAGGGTCCGAGCCAGGCACGCAGCCGTGCCGTGCCCGCAAAGCCTTGCGCAGACCTCAGCAGGGACCTGGAAGGGCTCGAGATGAGCTACAGCCGGTGCTAAACCCCAATGGGCACCAAGTGAGCCGGGAAGAAGCATCCGTGAGCTCGCAAGGCTGGAAGAACAGCTACAAAAAGAAGCTTTCTGTGCCCCGGCACAAGCCTTTTATACCCCAAAGTCTGCAAGGGGGAGCACTGGCAGCAAAATCAGCAGGATGTGATGTCCCATCCGCTCGGTGCTGCGTCGGGGCGGTATCCCCACCGGCGGGGGCCAC